AAAAATCACAAAACAAATGATTGGTTGCTCCGCGGTTTGCGCTACGACTGACAGTCTGCTTCCCCTGCTCGCACCCCCCGATTTTGATACTCGCTCGCGCTTGCTTCAACAAAACAAAATAGTGGCAAGCGCGCACGAACACACATACACACTAGTCTAGTTCACATGTACTTTTTTTTGTAAAATTTTTCAGCCCTGTACAAAAATTACGACCAAGGTGTCATTCGATTCGTATTTTTGCCTAAAAAGTTTAAGGAACGGTCCTAAAACGCGCCCATAAAAATTACAAAAGTTATAAACAATTGAGTGAAAAAAAAATGGGGCTTTAGTTTTTTCTTAATATCTCGGAAAATTTTAAGAATTTTGGAAATTTGAAAAAAGTTCTTTTTCATTAAATACATACTTATAGTTGAATTCTATGTGGCTTAAAAGTATAATAAAGGTATAGTATACCTTATCTACGTATTAATTTTTATACTTGGTATATAACACATTACAATATTTGACGGTCCGATGTTCGACTTTTCGCGGTCCGCCTGTTGCCGACCGTTGGCCTATAATGTTCACTGAATCCCGCTAGAATCGAAATGGGGGTGGGACAAAAGAGACGTTTTCTCTGAACGTCTAGAAGTTTTACGGCAGGAAAAACACTTCTTTGGGTAAGAAGTTATACGTATCGATTGAAGATTTGCATGCACATCTCGGTTTGAGTAAAACAGTTGGGCTGAAAAGTTCGACGATTACCTCTTCATCGGTGCTAAATTTCTTTCCAGCGAGCATTCTCTTGAGGTTTGGGAAAAGAAAAAAGCCGCTGGGGGCCAGATCTGAAGAATACGTTGGATACGGAAGCAATTCGAAGCCCAATTCATGCAATTTTGCCATAGTTTTCATTGATTTGTGACACGATGCATCGTCTTGATGAAAGGGCACTTTCTTTTTCTTCAAATGGGGCCATTTTCCGCGATTTTGTACTTCAAACGCACCAATAACGCCGTTATAGTCGCTGTTGATGGTTTTCCCTTTTCAAGATAGTCGATGAATATTATACCGTGCGTATCCCAATATACTGATACCATAACCTTACCAGCAGACTGTTCCGTTTTTGCACGCTTTGGAGTCGTTTCACCACTTGCAGTCCACTCAGTTGACGCTCGTTTTGATTCTGATGTGAAATGATGGAGCCATGTTTCATCCATTTTCACATATCAACGCATAAATTCAGGCTTTTATGGTGGGGCAGCTTCAAACACTGCTCAGAATCATCAATTCGTTGTTGTTTTTGGTCGATTGTGAGATCGGGCGGCACCCACTTCAAACAGAACTTTCTATTATCCAAATATTCATAAACGATATGTTCAACGTTCAACACGTTTCTATAATATCTTTGAAGCCTCAGTTATCTTGTTCAACTTCACTTTGCGGTTATCCAAATTTATTTTGTGAACTTTTTTTATATTTTTGTCGGTAGCAGCCTCTTTGGGGCGTTCACTGCTTGCATCGTCCTCGTTGCTCATTTCACCTCGTTCATACTTAGCAAACCACTTCTCAACGGTTGATTTTCCTGGTGCAAAGTCTGAATAATGATTATCAAGCCAAACCTTGGCTTCAACAGTATTTTTTTCACCAAAAAGCAATCCTTTTCATACATTTTCTTCAAACTAACTAAAGTTGCTTTACTCAAAATGTTCTACCCCACAAACTAATAGTCCAACAGCTTTAAAATTTACACACGTGTCTTTGGAAGGTTAGCCATCTTCTGAAAGTTAGCCTTTCTAATATACATATATACTTGAAATATACACGAAGCATTGATAAGCCAGTAAGTGTGCTGAAATTGACGATTAGTTGTTCCGGCTTAGAGGAAAATTTTCGTTGATTGTTCGCAGTCCTTCCATTATTTTATAAATTACGGATTGGTTTTGGAGAGGACTGAAGTATAACTGATTAACTTGAAGTGTTCGAGTCTTTTAGCAAAGTTCATGTGTTGCATGTGGCACATTAGCTAGAAGATATCCAATGGATCTTTGGTACCTAATAGAAAACAAGTATATATTGCTGATAGAAAGTAACGTATTCCAAAAACACTTTATTCAATTAAAAATAGAACAATTAAAATGAAATGAAAATTAAAGAAGGTTTCAAATCAGGTTACTTCACGAAGTTTTTATTGTTAGTATCCACAATCGTCTCTCCCCTCTCTCCGCTTCATCGTTTTAGTGAAAGGTGAACGTTTTTCCGCTTGATTGAAGGTTTCCATATGTTGCGAATCTCTACGCTAGCTTGGCTGAATGCGTCGTTGGACAACACATATGCAGCTTTTTTGAACTTCCTCTTGAACCAGTGTTCCTCACTGAAGATGATCTCAGCTTGGGACCATTTGATGTTATGTTCGGACTCATCTTCAATTATATCCGACATGCATTTATGCTGAATAAAACACAAAGGGTACTCTTGCTAGATTTCACTGTGGTCCTGCTGCTGGATCAACGAGAAGCCTTTGCATACATGCATGCTTACCTGCAGGCGTTCAACAGATTCTACTGTGTGGGATCGTTGGGAGAGATGAAGGTTCAAAACTTTCATTTTGAAATATTTAATTCCTGAATAGATATTGTAACAAATTAAAGAATAAACTGTCTTAACTGTCTTCCGACAATATTTCACTAATCACAAACTAATTTATTTCCACTATTTGAATTGCTTCGATTCGATTCACTTTCTGACCTCCACTGCCCTCTTGGGTCGAGAAGCCGGCTTATATAGTGTAACGCTTCTTTCCAGAAATCTGTAGTAGTTTCGGTACTCAACTAGAGTTTAACAGTCAGATTCGTTACAATATCATTACACTCCACCTTGAAATGCCAAAAAAATATGATCTTGAATAACTTTTTTGTTTTCATCCCGGTTTTGATAACTTTTTCAATAAATGGAAAGAAATTCATCCCAGATAATTTCACGTCAAACAGATTTCCTACTGAGGTTCAATTCATATGCATTATACGAGGGAACATAAAGTTATATGTCTATCATCTGGGTTTAAGACACCCTAGATGCAGATTTTGGAAGAAAACTTGGTTCTTTCCTTATATATCGTTTGGATATCACGAAATTAATGAAAAACAATGTATAGGGAATCAACCCACCTTACATACATACAAAATGATCATACAAAAGCTGTATTTCACCACAGCATGTCTTAAACTTAGTTTATACAAATATAAATTTGTTTTCCCTCGTATAATGTATATAAATTGGACCTTATTGGGAATTCTGTTTAATGTTAATTAATCTGGGATAAATTATCTCACATTCATTAAAATAATATCAAAATTAAGTTGAAAATGAAAAAGTTGTTAAAGATCAAAATTTGTTAAAATTTCAAGGTGGCCGATTTTTAGGCACCTGAGTGAAGTATAGTGGCAGCTATAAAAAAGACCCAAAAATAGTTTTCAGAAACCTTGTTCTTGGATGTTGACAAAATGAAACGTACTTGTTTTACGACCCTACAACTGAAGTGATAACTACTCGTATTATAGTTGAATTGATTTTAAAATGTGTTTTGTACTAGCTAAGTATTAACGAGGAGTTACCTTTTATCGTGCAATTCCTGACAAGAAGCTACATTAAAGGATTATTAATGTACAGACGACACTATCGTTTGACTAATGCATAATTGCATGTTGATACATTATTAATATTAAACATTATACAGTGCGCACTTTAAAAGTCCTCCCAACTCTCAACATTTGAGAGAGGATATATATTCATTCAATCCCTAATTTCAGAATGGATACAATTGTGTAACGTATACTTTAAATTCAATGAACCTCCACAAAAAATCCAAAGGCATTCTATCAATGTGTGTATGTATGTATGTATCTAACACATGGTAGGTTCACAAAAGAAAGACGTATAATACAGGAAATAGCAGCCACTAACGGTTTCTCGAGGGGCATTGTAGATGACATAATAAGGAAGAAGAAGTTTAGGTTAAGAATGAACGAAATCTCGACTTTTAGAAAGGACAAAAACCAAGATAAATACATCTCAGTTCCATACCACCAATATACGAGGAACTTTGGAAAGATTTTCAAGGAACTAGGTATGAAGGTGGTTTTCAATCAGTTCCCAACCATTTTGTTAACGGTTTCGAGACATTGTTGAAGAGAAGACAAATTGTTTAATTGACGAAATAGATTGTCCCTTCTTCTCAGTCTTATGTCAGGTACAATAAAATCGATGGTATAGAGAATTTCAGGTACTTTCAGTTTTCTAAGAATGTTAAAAACAAAAATTACTTACGAGGACTTACGGGCGGTCTTTCAATGGTTGCATATTAAATTCTCATAATTGGCTAGAATACGATATAAATAAAGGCCAGACATTGTGTATTCTGAAAAAGAGTGTTCCTAATAATCGTTTCTGGACTTTTTCTATAGTATCAGAATATAAAACGATCTTTGGATTCCAAATGACACAACCATATCTGTTCTGTTTTTAAAATCTGTTTTTCCGTTAACCAGCTGTCGCACCTCTACGAACGACAACCGTCAGAAGTCGAAACTTGTGCGAACTAAGGATCAACGAGCTTACAACGAACAAAGGAGTTAAAGAGTAACAAACAAGTTTCGTGATAATTCACGGCTATATAGAAAAATAGAAAAATCGTATGAGTTTCGGTGAATATGTCCAATGATGAACGACATATTGTGATCATACTTTAGTTACAATTGCTACTTTTCAAAGATCTAGAAAAATAAAATAGTTATAACTTCCATCTAAGGAAATTTTCTCGAATTTTTAGAAGCTGCGAACATTTCTGAATCCAATTAATGGAAACATACTTCGAAAGCGAAATGCTGGTTTTTCCTTACATAGTTTTATTCAATTAACTGCATTATCCAACCTGCATAACATTCTGTATTGGTGATAAATCTACTCTCACAAATCAGTTATCCATGGTACTGTATCCATATTACATGAACATTTTTTTGTTTCAGTGGTGGATTGTCCAACCTTCTTTATCACGTCTCCCTCCCAGACAATCTTCTGACCGATCCAAAAACGCAAGATGAGCCCAAAGAAGTCCTCATCAGGGTGTACGGCCAAACTCACGGAGAGGGAGCCATAGAATCCCTAATCACCGAATCCGTCATCTTCACCCTCCTCTCCGAACGCGGGCTGGGGCCAAAACTTCACGGAATCTTTCCAGGTGGAAGAATCGAAGAATACATCAATGCCAGACCTCTCTTGAACAGAGAACTGGCCGACCAAAGACTGAGTGTACTTATAGCACAAAAAATGGCATCAATTCATTCCATGGAGGTAAGGGTTTGTATTTTTAGATTGGAATATTAACTAGGTAGCGACGGAGGTAAACAACACTGGTATTTTATTTTTTATTTTCTCACGTTAAATGTGCCACGTCCATGGTTAGCAGTTCATTCTCACTGTGTACAAAGTCCAAATGTTTCTCTGGAGGTAAAACCAATTTCAGTTTCACTTCCATACGGTTGTTGGTTTAGTTTTGTTTGATTATCATTCGATCGTGATTGGTTAGACTTGGTTGCTTCCTGAGCCTATGTAGCAACAAGTGGAGCTTAGCAGTAGGACATTCCTTTCAAGGTAGCAGAATAACCCCAAGGCAGTGGACGGCACCGATCTTCAGAGAGAGAAAGAAAGAGAACTAAAATCAAGCACTGAACAATCGAAGTCTGAACATGGTCGAACTGATTTCGAGACATTACCAAACCAACAAAAGAATGGAAGTGCAAGAAAGTATTTCCATAAGTCATTGCTACAAATTCTGCAAATGAATTTCTCTTCATCATCGGCAACTAAAGTATATTTCGTATTTGGTGGCCTCGATACTTTTATAACGGGTTTTGTTAAAATATAGTTCTCGTAGATTCATTTTTGCAGTGAAATTAAAAAATAATTAGTGCAAATTGGCCGGATTAACTAACGTGGAAGTCGAAATAAAGTAACTTTTCTTGGTTTGTAACTATTTACTGGGCTGTCCAATGTCGTTAGTTGATTATGAATTGACAATTCAATGAATATAATCAACAAACACCACTAGTACCTATATCATATGTATTTTTGAATTTACCTTATATGTTGACACGCATTCATCATCTGAATTCATGAATTACATAGATTTGTTGTATCTCTTGAGAAACGAATTTGGATTTTGTATAACATACTTTCAACTGTGATTTGTCGATATCATATCATAATTTTCATCACAAAATACAGTCAATTGTCATTTAGAGTGTGAACATATCATATATGTTACATTTTTGATAGAAAAAAAGTTTAACAGACAATTACTAATTTTTTATATGCATTATTTCTCATTTTGGAATAAATTGGTGATAGAATGGTGCTAAAGATTACTCTAAACAACAAATAAGAAAAAAATATGACTGATATTATAATGGCTATACATGAGAGATTAAAGCATCCTGACTGCGTTGTCAACATCAAAAAATTTCCATCGCGTAAAAATTTTGAGTTATTTTTATTTTATAAAAAATTTTTCTCATATTATCGTGCACTGGAACCTGTCGGATATAATCCAACATATACTTTGAGGAAAACAGATTTTATTTACAGTACACATCAAAAAACATTGAAATGAAGTCTTTTGTGCATAATATTATTGGAAATGTTGACTTTCGTTTATATTTTTCATCGTTTTCCCTCATAAGGAACCAACAATAATCCCCATCATTGCTGCATCCCATCTGCCTTGGTCACATTGATTCATTGTCAGTATGTCTTGGTGAAACCTTTTCCCTTGGTCGTCACTGAAAGCTCCCAAATTTTCTGGTAAAAAATTCGAATGGGAGTGCAAGAAATTGATTTTGGGAGACATGCGACATCCCATTCTGCAGTAGTTTTCAAGTAGTTCTTCTACAAGTGTTTCGTAATTTTCTACTTTCTTGTTCCCTAAAAACTCCGAAACAATTTTTTTGAAAGAACTCCACGCAGCTAATTCAACATTACTTAATTTTTGATCAAACCATTGATCACTTTGTGGTCCAACAAATATACCTTCCTTGAGCTTTGCATCACTTAATTTTGGAAAATAGTGTTTAAGATATTTAAACGCATCACCTTCTTTGTCTAATGCTTCTGCAAAATTTTTCATTAACCCCAGTTTAATGTGTAATGAAAGTAAAAAACGTTTTTGGAATTAACAAGAGGTATATTCTCCACGTTAGCTTGACGTGGAACATATTTATCTCTCGGGGGCCATTCTTTTACTTGATAATGGCTCTGTGTTGCCCTACTGTTCCAAAGGCAAAGAAAACAGCAAAACTCCGTAAATCCGCCCTGAAGACCTATCTGCATCTGCATAGAGTAGGGAGGGTGAGTTAAAGCCCACAGCACTTACGCCACACGTGACCCATTATACATCCTCCCAAGGAGTGGTCCTCCTAGGTCATCGTTCATCCTGTCCTTTCCAGGAAGGTAGACACGTCACTGGGAAACATCTCCTTTATATCGGCAGGTGTAGGCCAAGACTCACCGAACACACACTCTCTTATTGACGATAACTCCGGGCACTCGCATAGGACATGACTGACACTCTCATCTTCCTGTTCACACATCCTCCACTAGCCCCATAGTCTGGAGGTGTTTCCTTAGTTGACAGTGGCCAGTCAGAAATCCTACTGTTTAGCGTAGATTTTTCCTGGTCATCGTCAGATATTTCTTCGGCGCCAGGTTCCTAGGGTCGCCCAGGGCGATCCTGGCAAAGTTGCATCATTTGATTCCATTCCATAAATTTAAGGATTGAGCATGGGTGTAACATTTGGCTAGTTCTGCAATTGTCGAAGTCATCAGGCCGTGGGTGCCATTGGGCCTTGAAATTCTTAGTCCAGCCGCTTCCTTGGATAAAGGGTCGGCAATGCTTTGGCTAAATCTTAGTGGCACTTTATTACTAGCCCTGAGGTAACAGGGCGTTTTTGGGATTACCACGTTAACTTGACCTGGAATGTATTTATCTCTCGAAGGTCATTCTTTTACTTGATAATGAATCTGTGTTGTCCTACTGTGTTGTCTTATGCCTTCTAGGTCACCACGTATTTGCCACTTATACGTGTTTATAACTTATTGCATTCACAATAAGTGACATACTTTCGTGTGCTTCCTTCATGGCAACTGCATGTGCAAGAGGAATAGGGGGTCTTTTGTTATTATTATGGAGCAGAACGGCTTTTAAACTTGTTTTAGACGCTGTGTTGCCAGATTTTAAACAATTTCTTCAATTTAGGGGAAAAGCAAATTTGGAATGTCGTGTTAGTTAAATTTTTGTGAAAAAAATCATAACTCAAAAATCCTACGTGATAGGAAATGTTCGCATTTAGGGACCAAAAATTGACAAAGTACTGCCTTTGGCATTACAGTCGTAAATTGGCTGTAACTAGTGTTATTTACATTGTATTACACTTGAAAGAAATGATTAATTAGTCTAGGGAAACGGTTTTTTGTAGGAGGTATCCAAAAAATTTGAAACTAGCTCTCAACTCCTTTGGGGCCGAGAGAAGTTATTGTCAACCATTGATACGTAATGCAAATCGCAAATTCATTACAAATTTCAAGTATGAAAATACTGACTATTCTTTCCAGTTAAATGTTTATAGTTCAAGTTCATATTTTTATAGCCTCATGAGATATGAAATATATAGTATAGTAACAGAAAAGTTCGTAGGCTAACATAGAAATAAAATTTGATTTTATTATTCAATATAGTTGCCTTCGAGGATGATACGAGGATTATAGCGGTCACACAATTTTTCGATACCATTTTTGTAGTACGATTTGTCTTTAGCCTCCAAATAGTCCCCATTTTGGACGATTACCTCTTCATCGCGCTAATTATTTTCCCCAGCAAGCACTTTTTAAGGTCTGAGAACAAGAAAAAGTCGCTAGGGTCCAGCCCTGGAGAATACGGTGGAGGCCGAAGCAATTCGAAGCCCAATTCATGTAATTTTGCCATTGTTTTCATTGATTCATGATATGGTGCATTGTGTTGATGAAAGAACACTTTATATTTATTTAAATGGGGCCGTTTTTTCACGTGTAGTCCAGTCAGATGATGATCTGTATTTAATGGTTGTATTATTGTATTTAATGTTGGAACATCGTCAAAAACTGTTTAGTGTCATCAATTCGTTGTTGTTTTTGGTCGATTGTGAGCTCGCGCGGCACCCACTTTGAACAGAGCCCGTTTCTTGATGTATTTATGTTTAGAGCCCTAGGTATCTTGATCAACTTCACGTTGCGGACATCCAAAATTATTGTGTGGACTTTTCTGATGTTTTCGTCAGTAACAACCTCTTTGGGGCGTCCACTGATCGTCCTCAGTACAAAATTCCTAGTGCAAAGTCCGAATAATGTTCATCAAGCCAAGCCATAGCTTTAACAGTTTTTATTTTCTCTAAAAGCAATCTTTTATTCATACACGAAATTCCTTTTTATACATTTTCTTCAAACTAACAAAATTAATTTCACTCAAAATTCTATCTCACAGACTAATAGTCCCACAGCTGTTAAATTTGTACACGTGCCTTTTGAAGGTTAGGGTTAATTGAAAATCATATGGATTCATTATTAGCAGCGCCATCTGTGTGTTAGCCTACCAACTTTTCAGCCCATCTAGTAGTCGTTCAATTTTATTGTGGTCTCCTTTATACTGATTTTTGTGAACGTGTTATTGAATCAAACATGAAACAAACTCACTGAATGCTTTTGAAACATCATTTCAAGTCGTGATATCTTTTTCTTGTATTGTTTTATGACCTGAAGACCCGATATTTTTACTACTTCATATAGTTTAAGGCTAATTCTAGTAATACGATCTACTTTCAAAGCATTTCAAACAGAAATTTAATTACCTATATTCCATTTTTCAAAATATTTCAGTGTTTTATTTTCCAAGTTTTACGCTCAAAACAAAAACCTCGACGAAAAGAACAAATTCTATTCCTGGAAATGATTACGAAATAAGTTACGCAGTCATTAATATTTATGTGACTGCGTATACAGACAAAAATGGACCAGCGGAAATTTCCAATGGGTTGTTTGGAGAGATAACGTGCAGAGAAGATATTGATATCCCAAAAATATTGATAATGTTTTGAAAACCAGTTACAAGTAGTTCATATTATCTTCACGACTGATAAGGTTCCATTTGTATTCATATACATCCTTTTTGAAACGTTTCTGAAGAAAATCGGGAAAAATATTGATTAATAAAAAACTGATATGAGTTTGAAGGCCGTGGATTTTTGGATTTTTTTCCTGACGGTTCG